GCTAAAAATTTCAAAGCTGAATATACTTATTGAATCCTCTGTTTCACTGATGAGTGATACTCATCATATCATTACTTTGAAATTCATTAATTTGATATCCGAAGGAATCACTGATTTAATACACTATGTGTTGCTATCTTGATTGTCCTGGAAAAGTGACAAATGGAAATGACAAGAGGTATCATCCGGAAATGAAATCTTCCAAGTAATACCAGCTCGACAAGCTCATAATAATCACATTCATCCCACAGTTTTCCACTTATACACTAAAGATGATAAAACAAAAACTCCTTTCTAAAAAGGAATCCATCAGTATGACAATTGAGAAACTGTTAAGAAAATTGAAGATATATCCTTTATTATTTATTTGCACGTTAATGAATTATTGATTTATACCCACTCAATTTGCCTTACCTAACAGATGGTAATAACGATCACATAATTAACAAAGTAAAGTGACAAGCGTCGTTATACGATAAACCTAGCGGACAAAACTTCATCGTAACACAGCATTTCATAGTTCATTTAAAGGAACAACTTTAATTTACCTTTCTTCGATTATTAAAGTTAGATTTGTACTGATGAAACCACTCAATTTATCACCTGATAAGTCCAATTGGCATGACACACATACGAAGACAGAGAGAAAGGGAGAAGGGAGAGGGAGATAAAGAGAAGGAAAGAGACAGATGATGATGATGCAGTGTTTCAAATGAGTTGCATTCTGTCCTTCCAAAATTTTTAAATTTTCTGAAATAGTACTCAATTGGGAGATGACATCACACCACTGAACGAATCAATTCCATGTATCCGTGCATAGTATCGGTAGTATCAACGGAAGTTAACCAGTAATAGTATAACATTTCGGGTATATAAGGGAATTAGAATGCATTGAATGGCCCATTATGTGTAATATTTTATATTTTGAGGAAAGCATGAAGAATTAAATGGAGATCATTAAAATACACACTGATGAGAAAGGGAGATTCCATGAACTTTGAGGAAAAAGAAGAGAGTAAAATTTAAGACTAAAAGGTGACTTGGGACAAAACAGCCTCCACTGGAGGTACTACAATCTTAGTTCCATACCACTCATTACTATCCTTTCAACATCTAATTCGATCGATGTAATGACCGGTCACATGCCGTTCGCAACTTGACACTAAACCGTTTAACTAATGGTATATTACTTTTGATGAGGTGAGGGGTCGTTCTTTCAAATTAGTTACTATTTAGTTATTACCTGGGAGTGTGCCGGATTCAGGTTCTTTTCTCTTTAAATAAAGGATTGGATTACTATGGTCTTATCATTAAGGGTTGACAATTACGGATGTTTGAGACATGATAAGATCACGTCACTTAGAAAATTACATATCTCCTCGTTTGGGACTGCAGGTTTTTTGATGACTTAGTCGACGGATTCTTTTTCAGGTAAAGATGCAGACGATCAAATGTGTAGTGGTTGGAGATGGTGCTGTCGGTAAAACATGCCTTCTCATTTCGTATACTACCAACAAATTTCCCAGTGAATATGTACCCACTGTATTTGATAACTATGCAGTAAGTTAGACACTCCATTTGTTTCTCAGTTACTTATCAGTTGCCACCTCCTGTTGACAAACACTTGGACTAATCATTTAGCCATCTGCCATTCAGTCACTTATCAATATATGCTAAACATAGCCATCAATTAGATATTACTTACTTTTCAATTACCATCTTCATAATATTCATAACTTACACCTAGTTTTTACTGTTATTTGTTATTATCTACCCAGTTATCAGTCACTACTTCTTTACACTGCAATTAGTCCATATTTACCGTTTGGCATATCAGTATTCTGATTGAGTTAATCTACTGATACTTTTAATTTAATTGAAAAGTTATCTTAGCAAACTTCAATTATACTTTTTTACTAAAATTATAGACAGGTAGCGGGCATCGCTCATTAAATTTATGCAAAATGGATTCATAACTACATACAGTGATATTTGTTATGATACATATGTGATATTTATTGTAGGTGACAGTAATGATTGGAGGAGAACCATATACGCTCGGTTTGTTCGATACAGCCGGTCAAGAAGATTATGATAGATTGCGTCCTCTCTCCTATCCGCAAACAGATGTATTCTTGGTTTGCTTCTCTGTTGTTGCACCTTCATCATTCGAAAATGTGAAAGAGAAGGTTACTATTTTAACTGTTACAACTTTTTTTTCGAAGTTATTTGTTATTTCGTTGCTAGAGTTCTGTCGATTTTCATTGGATATTGCCGGAACTATCCGAATGCAATTAATGTGGTACTGGATTGAATAGCAAATTAGCGTGATGTCATATGCACTTCGATATAAAAAGAATATTTTTCAAGAAAAAGTTACCTGCAATGAAATTGTGGAGTGATTGAACCGTTTTATCTAGTTTCTATATTGCGCATCAACTACTTAAGGATTACAATTGTTGTTGTTTTTTTTTTTTTTTTTTGCTGAAAGAAAAAGAAAACACCGAAATTTCGTAAATTTCGTAACGATTCTGGAAACGCAACTGGTATATAGCGAGGTTCTTATCTGAACTCATATTTTTTTTTCCATTATAACTGGTGCATTTGAAGACATTAATTTAGAGCAATTTTGAATTATCATGGTGGGATCGATTTAGCTATTGATGTCTCCCTTGTTAGAGACTCTTCTGCTTTTTAAATTTTATTAGTTCTTATTTAAGTCGATGAAAAAAAATTGCAGTGGGTGCCGGAAATAGCACATCACTGTATGAAGACTCCGTTTCTGCTGGTTGGAACGCAGATTGACCTTCGTGATGATCCCTCCTACATCGAGAAATTGGCAAAAATCAAACAACGACCAATTACATTCGAAGTTGGGGAGAAGTTAGCGAAAGAATTGAAGGCAGTGAAATATGTCGAATGTTCAGCGCTTACACAGGTTGCCCAATTTCTTTTGAAATAGTTTTGGAAAATCTACTCGAGAAAAAGTAGAAAGTGAGAGCTACAACTTATTTCACAACGAGCCAACTCGTTCAATGGATCCATTCAAGCATGAATAATTGTGTGCCACATTAAAGTTGTAAGCAGTGACGACCTGCATTTTGGTCTGGTGACCGCTCATGTTAAAACATTAGAAATGTATACATATATATATATATACGCCTTAATATGCCTTTCTGGAGTTGCAAATTAATTTTAATTCCTTTCATCTGTATATGTCCTGTAGTGACAGAAAGAAATACAAAGGGTCCACGATTAAAAAGAAGCCCTTACTAGTAAAACAAATTCGATATTGTACATTAGTTCAATCTGTGGTTCATTTTTCACTTGTCTTTTCAAGCTTTCTTGTTCTTTTTAAAACTTTTTGATTTGTGTTACAGAAAGGCCTAAAAAATGTATTTGACGAAGCAATATTGGCAGCGCTGGAACCACCAGCACAGGAGAAAAAGAAGAAATGTACTATACTTTAACCTCATCACTTTTTTCAAACTTTGTTTGTTGGCAGTATATTTCTCGATCATGTTATATCGGTTTTTAATTTGTTAGTCATTTATCCGTAATGATTATGATAATGTCTCAAGCGATGCACATACCGCACCACCACCATCATCACCATCACCACTTCTCTCCTTTGGTTTGGTCCCTTCGCGCATATGTGCAATGTTTCCATTTATCCATACGATATACCTATAGACTGTATTCTTGTGCCACACATCTTTTGTCATACATTGCAGACAACCAAATTTCCGGGAACCTTATTAGCTTTGGGAAACTTATGGCTAGACCGATACTGTTTGAATAAGTCGAGTAATGCAAAAGGCTGTGTTATTGGAGACCACTAGAACTTCTAGTGAAATTGACTCTTACGTTGTTGCTTTGTTCCGTATTCAAAGTCCATATAAATCTCTTGCATCCCGCAAAAATATTTCATGGTACGAACAGTGAAGAATAAACATCAGGGAACCGACTCGAAGTTCCATAACTAAACTTCTCAAATAGTCCAGTCTCTGATTGAAAGAACTATTCCAGTGGGAATTCTCCTCGAAAAGAGTCTGGAGTTTGATTTGCATAGCGTTGAGAACTTAGAGTAGACCCATTGAGAGTATTAGTAGATCACCTTAGTTAGTGTGGGCAGTTTGACAAGGGTAATATTCTAATGAAAACTCTTCTGGATTTGTTATGCGTCTTGCGAAATTCTTAATATAGCATTGTCATATACCAACGATTGCATCTGCCTACATATTACCAAAGTCGCGCCGATCAGCGAGGAAATGACTTAGCTATAGAAAGATAACAAAGTTCTCAACTTTTAAAAATACTTCAACTACTTCTGCAATAAATTTCAAAAACTCAAGTCGACATTTCCTTACCCCTGATACGTTTTTCTTTCCTTATCACCAGACTCATATATAGCAGAAGTCTTCTTCTATATATTTGCAGTATTGTAACAAGCAGAGTGGAAATCAATATTAAGAGAAATAGACGTTTAGGTGTTGACAAGGTAATAAGGAAATTGTAATGTACTATACATACATAAGTAGAACTGACTGGAGCAGGTCAACAGGTTAAACACCACAACACAAACAATAATTGAAGTATAAATGCACTGACCTACAGAAAAACGAAAAACACTTGATTAAACTATGAAAGCAAGAAAGAAAGACAACAGCGACATGAATGACTACAATATAGATCTTCCCTAACCTCACATTCTCCTAGTCCCTGATCAGAATGCTTACAATAATTATGCATAAATGAATCGAATTATCACGTACAAATGAATGAAAGTACAAGTACCGACACTAAAATTTTAAAAGGACTTAAATTGAACAAAGAATAGACGTGGGCATATGCAGCGTGCCCTTCCAAAAAATACCCGCGACATTTCACGTGCAAAAAGTTCACTTACACATTTGAAAAGCAGTTTTCGTTTTGGCAAATCTTCTACTAGGGGAATAATGCACGAACTGATTTCGGCGTACTTCCGTCATTAAGATGTTTTGTCGTATATCGTAGAGCGCTTAACAACGATTCTGCCTGAAAATCGGATCATAGTAGGTGAAGGATTTAGGATTTACCAATGAATCCAATGAACTGCGACTTTATAAGTGTCCTCAAATTGGATGCATGCTCGTATTATATAAGAGGGGAGCAACATATCTTCATTCAAAGCAGAAAGTTATTCCTATCGAAAGCGTAAATTGAGTGTACGTATAAATTTAAGAAAATAAATTACAAAAAGAATATTTCTATAGTGTATGAAATCAACGATAATTTCAAATTCGCAGCTAACATTTCTTTGGGAAGTAGAAAAGTAGGTACCTCTTCATTCCTGGACTGTGTCTTGATTAGTTCTACAATCGATCGTATATCAATGGGTGATTCTTTACAAAAAGCTCCTGTATTATCAATATGATCATATAGTATAATCGCCCCAACCATAACCCTCATCGTGAAAGAACAATTTTGGTCTGAGAGTCGTTCCCAGTTCTCCTCTTTTTCTACCATAAATCGACATACCTTGAAAAGATGGCTGTCTGATAATTATCGAACCATCATTTTCTGGAATTCGATTCTTTTGCTTACCTGCACAACAGTGGCTAACGTATCTGTAGTATTAGCAATAGGAAGGTCGCCATTTTTAGCAACAAAATCAGTTGTAGCTGTAATAAGTGCAGAAAGCATTGGAGTCGGACAAGCCAAAAACAATGATATGGTATTAGCCAATTCTAACGGTATGGCAAATTGTCCGTCACTCTGAAAATGAAACATGGAATTAGAAAAGTTGACCCAATTAGTAATCTTTGGAGAAGTGAAGAGTGCTCTGTTCTAGGCTACCATCATTAAGGATTCAGAAGATGAATAGTACATTAAAGTATATAACAAACTTCTCGTGACATTGCTCGACGGTAGAAACTGAAATCGTTTTGCAGTGCTGGCGTACACATTTTGACAGCATCGAATGAAAGTGCAAAGTCAATAAGGCGAGCGAACTGTCGACAGGTTGCCTGAAGTGTGTCTAATTGTTCTGCTGGTGGCAACGGACCTGTAATTTTTGACGGCATGGATTCCATTTGTACTCATCAAGCATCTTAAATTTTGTGAAATGCGGGAGGTGACGACAGGGAGCACAACTTAGATTGATATGACCAAACGCTCACTTCAACAATGATCACTTGCAAATGATAACATCAGTGTGTTATCGAGAGAATCAGCAATTTATGGATATAACCCTCTAGTCCCAAAAAAGTGGAAAACTGTCCAGGATGTTTATGCAGTGATTTAAAAAATTTTGTTCCTCATTCAGTTTATTGCCCTTAATTCTGATGGATTTGACAAATGTATATGACCAAACGCTCATTTCAATAATGATCGCTTGCAAATGATACTGACAATTCCATTATCACTATGAGAAAAGTGAAACTGATTTCCGGGTCGTACAAAAAAGCATACCTGAACAAAGATCCCATAGCAGCAGTGGCACAATTTGTTCAATCCGCTGAGACAATTCATAGTAGGCCCTAATCTGTATCACTAACTTGGTCAGTATATCCAGCGCTCCCCGTTGAGCATCCCTGTTGTTGGGTTGCTGTATGGCGATGCGAATTTCGGCCGATGCCCCACCTGAATAATGTTTTACGTCCTCTAGCAGTACGACTGCCTGCTCCAAGATCTGGAATTCTGGCATTTAATCAACTCCAGGTGAGTCAGTTAAGGCTGAAGCTAAACCGAATTTTGAAGGAAACTCCCTCATCGGCAACATTATCATAATGTGGATAAAGAACCTAGAAGAGAGATGGAATCATTAATAAATTGTACTGATATCATCATAGTCGACAGCTGCTCTCCTGGTTGGTAATGTTTTACTTGCAAGTGCTCCGAATTATTCTCATCATCCTACCTTTTCAGCTAAAGTGCAGATCTGCAATTCAGATTCTGACGGTACAGCATGCTCGAAATCCAAAAAGACATTAACGTCAGGTAAATTGGTTCTTGAGCCATCACAGCTAGCCAGCAGCACCGAACGAACAACTTCTGCACATGAAGATCCACTTTTCATGTCATGCTACAAACTAATGACGTTTTCCATGACATGAAAAATTCCACCGGGACATAGTACTTTGATATAATAAAGTGAAAGTATGGCTGTGTACCATGAAATCCAAGCAGATATCAAACCCACATTATAGCCCAACTAACAAATGACAGTTGAAAAAGAATTAGGTAGGAAGGGTTGGTAGTTGTGATGAATACAAGAGGTGATCTGGGCTACACACCGGAAAAGCGGTACTAACAGAGCCATCAATGGTAATTACTGGTTAGCAAAGTGGAAGAGATAAATGAACAAGCGTTAGACGCCAACAAAATTTCTCAAGTAAACGCAGCATCACAGAGCAACAATTCCAACATGCGTTACGTTGAACGGACTATACACAGACCAACCAACCGCGAAATAAACTGATGTGATTGATCACTTTGTACGAAATACACCTTCAAACTCCAAAGACCAGCTTCAATTATATTGAATTGTTAGGCTGATGTTCTGGTTTAAGTATTCACTCATATGTCAGAAACGCGTGAACATTTTGTTTCAGAAGTGGTATAATTCATGAGGGAGGCATCGAAACGTCAACCTTCCTCATGCTTTTCTGTCACGCCAAAATGCAGAAAAAAGTATGATGCTATTGTTAAAGGTTATTTTGCGTCTTCTCTTTTTTTCCTTCCAAGTATCTACAGTGCCATAAGTTTTGAAAAGTTTGTAAAAAAGCTGTTTGCAAATACGGGAAACAGTTGGTAGAAATAACTCAGCTTAATTTATTTCATTATCAGTTGCCGCGATATGCGACATAAGTGTTTTACAGATGGGACGTCAAAGTGTTCATTGAATGAGAAAATTCTTGAAGTGCCTGGAAGAATCGCTTCTATTGAATTATTCAATTTCATGTGTCATGAAAGTTTGAAAATCAATTTTGATGTACTCAATAGGAATTGTTTCTTTATTGGTGGATCAAATGGGTGTAAGCTTACGTGTATTTGCCGTAATTAGTATGTTATCTTCTTATTTTCTGACAATCGGAAGGTCTTTCTTTGCTTCTCTTTCTCTTTTCATTTCTTCGTTTTATTGTTGATAAAAGTACATTGACAAAGTTTCAGTGCACACTCCCCGCACATTCCCTAGTCTTCAGCTTCGTAGGGAAAGAGTAAGTGTTAAGAATTTTAAATATTTTACTGATATAGCAGACAGCGGTGTATGGATACAAGTGTTTTCAGCTGGTAAGAGTGCATTGTTTGCGGCATTAAATATGGGTCTTGGAGGTCGAGGAAGCCAGAATGAACGTGGGAATGCAGTGAAGCAGTACATAAAAGACGGTCAGAGGTGAGCTATCAGAGCTTAATCGTGCAGCACTTTATATTTCGAACAGTAAAATCATAGGCATTTCACTTCATTTGTTTTTTTCTGCCTTTTGAAATTGTGGAATGTGGTTTGGCTGTCGTATATGGAGTCGGTTTCTGTTTGCTGTGAATGCAGGTTTCAAGACATAGTCTTTGAAATGTTTTGGGGTAGTGGGGATGCAGCTGTTGGTATTTTATTATCATTTTTTAAATCGATGAAACTTCTGGTCTCTATATCAAATTGCAGTCGTGCGAAAGTACGGATAGTGCTAACAAACCGCGGTTTCGGGAGATATCCAGGTTATGGCGATGCTATTGCTGTTGAGCGGATTATAAACTTCACTTCGTCAACATATCAACTGAAATCTCTCACTTATAAAGGAGGGCGCTGTCATGGTTCGTTCGGAGCTTATTTTAAAAATTTCAGTGCCATCTGTACAGCATACCTTATGATACACGCCTTATTCATCTCTTCGGTGTTCATCATACATTTGCCATTAGGTATTTAAATTTATATGAAATCTACGAAATCCATCAGTCCCCTTCCTTTGAAAGGTTGAAATTTTAGAAGAGGTGGTAAGTCACAAAAAGACTGATTTGGATAAACTGCTAGCAAGATTCTCCATACAACTTGACAATCCGATATTCTGGATGTCCCAAAACCGATGTCGCGAATTTTTGCAAGAATTGAAACCAGGAAAACTTTACAATGTTTGCTTTTTTCGATAGTAATAATAATGGCAGCAGGACAAAGGAGAATTCATTTAATTTTGAGGAGTTCCTTAATCCTATGTCTTTTATTAGGTTAAAGATTTAAGATCAAAGAAATGAGCTATTGAAATCCTGATCATTGGGTAATGGAATTGTGGTGCTTTTTGTTTTGGTTTTGACTCCTATTATTATTTAGTTCCTGACTATTATTTCCCTGTTAGGAAAAGTTTTAAGAAAAACTGTAGGAGGTTCAGAAACTCTTACAGTGCATCCTGTTGTGACTTTAAGAAGTCTTACCATGAATTCTTAGAAGTTAGACCCTTCTATCTTATGCATGATTGGTTATCAAGATTATGAGGTTGTTCGGTATTGCCGTTCTCAACCAGTCATTGGAAGGGAATCTATATTGATCAAAACAAACTACTCTTGATGTAAGGTAGTGTTTGTAAAACAGGAATTTCAAACTCATTGTTCCAGCAGTAGTGCCATTTGATGAAGCCAAAATTTACTGGTTAAAGCTTCATCTATCAGTTGAGATGTGGATTGTTTCAGTTCTAATTTTAAATGACACACTATATTTCAAAACTATATATAATGTTGAATTTCACTGCTTGTTTATTCTATATCATTTTCAGATGTTTATGGCTGCAACAGGATTAGATTTCTCGCGACAATGCTACAGTGAAAGTGAAACATACAGTGCTGAATCGGAAAAACTAGTGCTATCTGTTCGACAGGCTTGCTCTGACAAATTAAAGTTTGTTTCAGTTTCCTCATGTTTAAGGGATTTCTAATCTGTTGAAAATGAAGGAAAGATTCGGAAATATAACATTGTTCTAATTTGTTGCAGGGAAATCGAAAAGCTACGTGAGGACCGAAAGCGTATACAAAATATGGAACAAAATAAACAGAGTCTCTCAGAGCTGAAAACCATCCTTCGTTGGCTACCAATTAGGGATTGTCACAAGGTGAATCTTTTTTCATTCATCAATTTTGTTTTAATTACGGAAATCACAACTCCAATCGTTTTGTTCCAGGATCTCTGTAGGCATGAAAAGCTGCTGGTAAAAGCTGTCGAAGTGTATACAAAATTAAAGGAAGGATTTGCAGTAAAGGAGGTTGGTTGGACATTGGACACAGTCTATTGCGGCGGGATTTGTGGGCTATTTCGTTCCAGTAAATTTCCCTTATTTTCTGAGAATTGATTACATCACTTGCATTTCTTGTTTCAGAAAATGAAAGCAGATTGTCTTCAGAAATTTGAACAAATACAAAAAAATAAAGATGAATTGCAAGAAAAAATGAAAAATCTCCAAATCGAAGTAGGATTTCTTAATTCAATTTAATGCATATTTCGAATGTCACACCTGATCTGAAAAACTGTTGTTCCTTGTTTAGTTTCATTTGCTCTCTTTTCGTGGTGCTGCGGCATTCCTTCGGCGCACATTGTGAAAAGCATCGGTTTGAAATATACTGAATTTCTTGACTGAAAGGTTTAGAATTTCTCGCAGTTTTCGAAAATTTAATTATTGAGATCAAACTGTGTAATTATTAAAATTAAACTGTGTAATCCAGAAAGGGTCCTGGTAATGTTATGGAAGTAATGGCTAGTATGAATATAATAAGCTTTATTAGGAAGTTAGGTAGCTATAAAAAATTCATTATTTTTGCAGTTGAAAAACTTGGGGAAGGAAAAAAAGAGCAGACGTGATGAAATGTTAGACGTTGGGCAACAATTGAGCGCCGTAGAACGAAATCATAGGGTATTGGACGCGGAGATTAGTTCAATGGAGCAGCAACTGAAGGAGATCGAAGCAAAGTCCATTTCTTGTATTCAAATTATAAATCTTCTAATGTGCTTCACTGAACCTACACCAAGCTAGTTAACATTAAAACTTTCTTGAATGTGCACGCTTGAATATGTGTATTATTTTTAGGAAAAATCAAGGCATTCACTACAGTATTGTTGAAGCTGAAGCAGAACTGTTTGAATTAGAGAATCGATGTACGGCAGTGAAAGAGAAACAATATCTAGTGGAGGAAAGAAGAAAGTGTTTCGAAACAGAACTGACTAATGCGATAAAAGCCGAACGTAGCCTTGAGTAGATTTATCTCCTTTGATTTATCAAACATAATGATTTAGTTTTAATATACTCTGATTTTGCGATATTGATTGTGTAAAGAAGCTATTTTCCATATTCTAACTTTCCATATTCTATTTAGAGGAAATTTAACGCAATTATATCAGATGAAGCATATCTCTTGAAGCAAATGTATATCATTGATTTATCTGTTCATAAATATTTCAGAGCGGATATTTCTCACTGGAATGCTATGTTGCGAGAACTATGTGATGAGAGAGAGCGAATGGTGGCAATGCAACAAAATTGTCTAGCTCGTTTCGGTACATCGGTGCCTCAGATCGTTAGTTTAATCAAACAAAATGCTGCTAAATTCTCGAAAAAACCAATTGGACCTATAGGTAAATTTAGGTTCTTCACATAATAGTTGGAATTCTTGCTGTTTCCAGTAAAAGTAACGTTTCATATTCGTAAAAAGCGGAAGAAAAGACTACACTTTTCCACGTAGCTATGGTAAATGAGCAAGAATCGCAAATTTTAGAAAACTCAACCTCATAAATTCAGGTGCCTATATCCGGATAAAAGATGAATCTTGGGCATTGGCTGTAGAACATTGTTTGCGGCATTTACTTTCAGTGTGGTTGTGTGATAATGTACAGGACCGGAACATTCTGGATTCGATTCTGCAGAAATATAATATCCGCACCATGGGATACATCATCAGCAAGTACTTTTTTCTTTGTCTTGAACGCATTTCATGTTTCAAGTCGTATTTTTCATTACACACCGTGATTTTTTAGGTTTTCAGAGAGCCGATATGATATAACTTTGTTCGAACCACCATCAGAATATTTGACTGTGGCACGAATGATGACTGTGACGGATGACAATGTTTTCAATGTATTAGTTGATCAAACGCAGATGGAATCTATTCTTCTTATTGGATCCGATGGTTTAGCACGCAAATTAATGGCGCAAAATGTAGGTATTATTTTATTATAAAGTATGTATTTGCTTACCATATGGAATCATATGTGATTGTATCATGCTTTGCGTTAATATTATGGTTTGTGCTTTTTGGATTCTAAAGTTTCTTCTCTAGTTTATATACCGTGAATTCTTTCGTTGACATCCAAGTTAAATTTTATAATGCCGAAGTAACGCTAGCAGAAATATGATTGGAATTTATTATATCGAAATGACGGTGACAGAAATATGGCTGAAATTTTTATTTAGCCTCCAAAAAACGTCTGCAAAGGTTTTACCAAAAATGGCGATGAAGTGTTTGCAAAAACGGGTAATCAGGTGTATCGCTTCTATGGAAATCACCGTTATCAGAAGTCAGTCATATTGACTAGTATTGAGATAACTAATGCCAGGTAATTTTTGCACCTGTTTCTAGCGAACGATTTTTTTTTCTTGTAAGAATCTCTTAAGAGTTTATTTACGGTGAAAATTATGTTTGTCGGCCTTTGGCCGGGACATTTTGAAAGGAAGTAATCAATAAGCATTAACTTAGAAATGTGACCAACTTCATTATTGATCTCTTGTAACATTAAAGTTTTATTTCAGAATATTTGATGACCAAATAATGAAAGCGGAAGATGAATTACGAAGTAACAGAGCGTCTTTAGCAAAGGTTTTATCAACCTTCCTATTCTTCCTGAATGATATGAATGAAAGACATCGAGAAATGAGAGAATACATAAGAAAAAAACAAGCAGTTTTAAAGGCGTAAATGTACAACTGTAAAAAGTATTTTAGGTACAGAAAAATCGTCAAAAATTAGAAGCAGACATGACTAATGAGATACAACAAAGTAACCAGGAATTGCAACGCTTACGAGTCGATGAAGTACGACGACGCTATTTGCAAAAACGATTGGATACTGCACGATTTGAAGGCGGTGTTGATGGTCAAGTCATGAATTTGGTTAGGACATTTGTAGTCTCGTTATCTTTATTCATCAGAATATTTCATTGAGATGGTTCTTTTCTTTATCATAGATTGTCTTTGGTTTTCAGGTTTCAAACTTGGATCAATATAGAAGGGAAAAGGAAAAATTCATACAATCTGGGGACGTTCTGCAACAGCAGCTAACTAGATCACGTCAGCTGTTACGTGATACAGAAATAATAAGGGCCAAGAAAGCTAGAGAAATGGAGGCGAATGAAAATGAACTCAAGAAATGTGAAGTATATGCTTCTGGAAATAACTGGGATTGACGTTTTTAAGCAAAACCGATTAATTCTCGAGTTGTAAATCATACCGTTATTATTGTCTTGACAATCTTTTCTGAAGGTTGTTGGGAGACTTATCTTTCATTTCTAGGCAGATTTGGACGAATGTAGCAGTGAAGTCGATAAGATGAACGACTGTGAGAATGAATACCGTCAGAAGTTATCAAAGTTGGAAATTCATATTAGTGGTTTGGAAGAGAAAATAAAAGCGTTGAAGTGAGTAAAGCTTTCTGATTAATTGAATGAAACTTTATTATTGTACAAGTAAATCTGAATATTTGTAGCGAGAAACTGCAAAAAATTAAAGAAGAAGCTAAAGAATCGGTTACTGACGCACCTCCTGATTTTGCAAATCTACCGAATACGGCGGAAGCTGAAGAACGATGTAGAAAACTGGAATGTCGTATTCAATCTGCACAGGAGAGGTTCTTGTTTATTTTGACTTTTCCATGCTCTCTCTTCCGAACTTTTTGGCTGCATCCAGTGTATTTAAAGTCCCCAAAACTCATTGATAAAAATTTGTAAATCCATCCAAAAATGTGAAATATGAAAATAGATAATCCCAATTCTCCAGGCATCAGAATAAATAATCGATTCATGATTCCTTTTTTACCGTACAAGTTCTACTTATCTTTCTCTGATTTCTAACTTTCTTTGTCATAGTCTCATCCGGAAAGCCAAAACGGTTTTACCGGCTACTTTGTAAAAAGAATTTATCTTATTCGTACACATTAGCCATTATTTTTTTTTCCGTGCCATTATTCTTGTAATTATTTGCTATCGCCGTTTTATACTGTACAAAAAAGCTTGTATATTACCTTCTAATAAAAATAAATTTTCATATCAGACTTCGTAATACTATGGCAGTAACTGTGATAGTATTACGAAGAGTATATGAAAAAACAGGGACTTTGCACACCACAGTATATGACCACACACGTTTGTTGTAGAATTATATGGTGTGTAAAAGTTTTTCATAAAGTTCCAGTCGCCGGTGTAAAAAAAAGCTTTGGTTTTTGTGAAAATTTTTTTGTGGGCGTTACAAGGATAACAGTGACAATGTACGATTGAAAAAGAATTCTTCACATTGTCTGCTACTATTTTTTTTTCATTACAGCTTGGAAGGTACTGTAGTGTCTGAAGAAGCGTTGCGTGCTCTGCAGAATAGTTATGAACGTCTACAAAGAAAATATAACAGTGCTAGACAAGTCGTTTTGGTATGTGCTAGAATTACTTTCCAATCAACTTTTAGTTGGAAATGGTTTGCGTTAATTTTAGGGATTGAAGAATCGATTAAAATTGAGAAATGAGAAGTTTATAGAAGTGCGAAATCTAACGGCTAAGCGACTCAACGAATTATACAGTGGTCTGATGTCGATTAGGAATTTCAAAGGTTCACTGATTGTAGACCATGGAGAGCGTGCTATTTATATTATAGTGGGTTGCATGTTATAATTGTATTATGTCAAAGGGTTATTTCCGTTTTTTAGGCATGAATTTACGTATACTTTCTTTTTTTCTACTATTTTCTACTTACGTATACTTTCCTTATTTCTACTCTTTTCTTCTTTATTTCTACTGACATTTACATCACATTTATAATTAAAAATGACTTGTGCATTGTTGTGTCGTTTAGGCGGGAACTCAGAAAAATCAAGAAATTGACCAGGTCGCTCTCCTTGAACATTATCGAGGAAAGGGCAATTTGCAGGATTTGAGAGGTCTCATTTTACCCTGAGTTTTACTTATGTCATTGTGTGTTGTATGGGGATAACAGATACATAATAAACATTCTCTCGCTGTTTATATTATATATATATATAAACGATGAAGGCTCATATTTCTCATTCCGAAAATTCAGGTTTTATTTATGTCAAATCGTACAACACGCAATGATTTAATACTTTTTAGAAAGAAACGTGTCCTTGAGTAGTATATTTTTTTCTGAATGTATAGTATTCAATGCAGGATTGTCTGGTGGTGAACGGACTTATACCTCCGCTTGTTTCGTTATGGCTTTATGGCAGGCTATGGAAACTCCCATCCGGTACTTTTTGTGATTAATAACTAATTTTATGAAACAAAGTATAACTTGAATGCAAGTATTTGAGATCCGGAACTAGCTTATTTTTCAGTTGCATGGATGAGTTTGACGTATTCTTAGACTTGAACAACCGGAAAATTGTGATGGAACTCTTCGCAGATCTCGCTACTCGTCAATACCCATCCCACCAGTTTATTTTCTTCACTCCTCAAGGAGTTGCCGATTTTGCTCATCGTGATCGTGTACAGCTCTTCGAAATGCCGAAAATCAGAAGGTGAAAAAAGACTGAAGTTGTGAGTGTTGCTTGTGATTATATACAAAGCAGGCTTTTATACTCAATATTTCATGATCTCATTCTCGGGAAAGTTCATTTTTTGTATCAGTGAATTTATGTTTTTGTGTCATTTCGGAGTGATGTTAAATAGTGCAAGGAATTAATGCAACTTTTACCTATTATTAGTTTTTACCGCGATGAGTTACTACCCATTATAAAAGTAATTGCATCAAAAAATAAAGCATAATTTTATTGTGTGGTGCCTTCCATCCTTCCATTCCCAATGATCTCAAGTTTCATAATTGCTTAGTGAATTACACTCATGCTATGAATTACATCATCATTTTTGGTTTGTGTTTTGAGTTATATGTATTTTGTTTGGAGAAAATCCCGTTTTCAAGTCGGTAAAATTTTGCGTACTTTTTTGAAAATTTATTGAAAATGGTAGAAAGACCAAGTATTTTTTTGAATGAATTGGAAATGTGCTCAGGCTTACTACACTTCGATTGTTCTCATTGATTTTGTTTATTTTTTTTCTCTGAATTGATGTTTCCGTAAATTATATGGCTGCATATGGAAGTCAGAAATATATAAAATTATTTAGTTCCAAATGATTGAATTATTGCCTAATATGATACAGTATTAATCTTCTAGTGAACATTCTTCTTGTTTGCCATCAGAGAAACGGCAATATGGTCGGATTAGTATAGAACTTATGGCTCTTTATAGGATCGTGTTATGGATTCATCTTTCGGAAGTTCACAAAAGTAGGACACGAAGCATCGCATAGCTATGTTATCGGTATACCGTGCGACAGTCATCGGTGATACCATATACCTTATATACCTTTTTTTTCTCGGTTACCGTAATCTATGATTCCGCAGAAGATGATTGACTAATATTCTCATTCAGCTTTAGCAGTTGCTGGATTTGCAATGATACATGTAATATATTCCAGTTCTATTTTAAGATTAATGAGTTGTGTGTTGATCATAACCATTGATTATAAGTGTATTAAGCTGGAGGTTATTGGCTTAATCTAAGAACGGTGAGAACTGAGAAAGTCTTGATTTCGAATGAAGACCCTAATTTGAGTTACTGTTCAGCAGAACGCGATGCTAACGTTTTTTGACATGGGTAAAAGTTTAGATGTCGATCGAAATCAAAATTAAATTGTAACATCAAAGGGTGCTTGTTGTTTGAGTTGATCGTCATGCTCATCGTGATATAATTGGAGTGAATGATGATGCCAGTGTCAAAACATGGTAAGATCATATTCCAAGATGTATTTTCATTGCCCTAATGCGGAACTGTAACTATGAGTGCATATCTTTTGGCCCATTGCAATATATCTATCTCATTGAACAAATCTCAATTAATACGTTGTGAACTATTCACGATGTAAAATACGACTATTTGATTCACATTTGAAATTTTAATTGAATTATTTAATTCAGCGGTGAACTTAACTTCTTGCTAGGCATTACAATGATTTATCGGTGCTGTATCTTTCGTTCAGAGTCAATTCTTCCACTTCAAATAATCCTTTAATTTATTAGTTAATGTAAACGAAGTTGTTATTTACCTGATTGTTTTTTCAGTATTATGTTATGAAATAACATCGAATTGTGGCACATTGTTAGAAGTAATATAACTGCAGTGTTCTTTCCATCTAATCAGTACGAACTGTGATCATGCACAATATTTTTGTCCACTCATTTCATTCTTCACTTATTTCATTGTTTAATATATTTTATTCCATTCAATTTTGCAATTGACAAGAGTCTGATTGTTTAACTGTAGGAGTGACATAGTTATTTGATTGGAAGTGAAATGTTATGCAGGAATTTATTGGAGTGATTAGTGAAGATTTGATCTTGTTCTCTTTCTAGCATTCATTTCGAGACGCTTGTCGATAGTTTCGATATTCTCCTTTTTTTATTTATTAAAGAGTTGAAATTTTTTTCTTTCTTTTGCGGTAATAGTTACAGTTAGTTTTCAGGCAGTTAACTGTTCGTAATTTGTTGAATTAATTTGCGAGTTTGATAGACTTGTAGTCGTGCAAACTGATTGATATACCATGGATGCATCAACTAGAAGTCATATGACCTTGAATACTCTTGAAAAAGGTGAACATCTTCTAAAAAAATCATTTAACTTTGTGAGCTTAAATCTTGAGAACCTAGTATTTGAATAACTTTGTGAGTTTAAATCTTGAGAACTTGGTATATGAATCACATAAGGGTGATAGCGCAGTAAAAAAAATTTTGAAATCCGATGTCGTGCAATATTGTGGAATAGATTGTTCCCTTCAGGGTTGCGCTCACGCACACTACATGAGAAGATGGCTACGATTGTCAACATGACGACATTTCTACGCGAGAATCCATTCCCTTTCTTCGTCAATGCCGCTGTACTCCGGCTTTGTGAGGCATTTCGTGATGAGTGAGTGGGTTTTCAAATGGTCAGCATCGGGATGGTTGTCATCTTAATTTTTGATTTCATAATATGGATCCTATCACTAAAAAGTTCACTGAAGAGGGTTTTTTGTTTTGTTCTGTTTTTGTTTTTAAGGCGAACGCTGCCATTACATCAGTTTTTCAGTTTTCTGATTAAATATTGAACTCATATCAGAAAGCATGATTCAGATGCAATGAGCTACGCTTGTGTATTGTGCGAGTAATGGGTGAATGTTCTACTGAACTGAGGCTTGTTTTCTCGAATGATGAAGTTGCTCGGCGCGTTCTTAAAGTATCCCATTCAAATGACCCACTTGCTCGTTCGCTTACGCTCCAAATATTAGCCAAGTTGGCTTCTGTTGTGGCGGAGAATAAGCAGGTATGATGCAGAAATAGGGGATATTTTAAGAACAGCAAAAATCTTTTATCTGATTTTTTCTCTTATGAAAATTTTTTATGCCATACATGGATTGTAATTTAGGTGCATCATTTGATAGTTACGAGTATCGATTCTGAGGAAGCGCAGGAACGGTTAGCAGCTACTGTGGCGACTGAAGCATTTGTTGGCGTTTCTAGGTTGTATTTCGCATCTATATTCTTTATAAGGAAGATTTTTTACTTAAAAAAAAAGATTTTTTTGCCTTTTTTACTTTTGGAAGACTTGAAAATTCCGTCGAAATTTTAGAAAGAATTCCTAAAAATTCTCAGTATATCGGAAACTATTTCATGATTTTTTTAATCTTCAGGTCCTTTTCGCAAACAGTATTTGAAAAACTCTGTGTCACATTTTTATCTCCCCTTGTTTCGCCGACGACGAAGATAGGTTTGGTTGGTGTATTCGCTAACATGCAAGCTGATGTAGAAATCATCATGAAAGTATTTGCACTGGGTGAACGGATACTGAATGAGGCGTACAATCAACAATTGATACTGGCACTTATCAAATCACTTACTACATTAGCCGTTTCCTGTAAATTCGCCGTCTCTGAATTGGTAATGATATAAATAAAACTTTATTTTTAGTTTAAAAGATTTTGATTTGTTTGGAAAGATGCATTCCATAAAAATTGTTGTATTCTATATTTTCATTTTCATATTTTCAGTTAACTTTATTGATAGAAAAGCTAAAGATATCCAAAGAAAATCGGACTCTTTGTGTTGCCATTCTGTGCAATATTAAACGCTTATCAACAGCCGCACATATGCTGACGGAATCTCATATGCATGTTAGTTTTATTAATTTTTAAAAAGCTATAAACACTGTTTCTCCTGCTTTTATGATTCAAATGTCAAGTACAAATGTTAAGTTTCATTTCTTTTACGGTTCAGCCACGAGCATGGTTTTTTTAAAATAATTTAACATAATGTATGACTTTACGTTAGGACCTATTGGGTTTTGGGGATACGTTAACAGATGACTCGATGCGCGTTTATTGGTTGGTAACTCTTGTTCGTTTCACATCGCAAAATATCCATAAAATCACTGCAACGCTTTCAGGTATTTTATTCTGAGTGCTGTGTTACTCATCGAAAATTTTGTTAGCTACATGTTAACCAATTAACGATTTCAATTTTAAGGCGACGGTGAGTTAACAGTAGAGGGTAAACAACATCATTTTGCAGATAATATAGCGCATTGGACGTACCTTTTATCGAGTAAAAATGCTGATGTTCGACTTGCAGCTCTGCATTTGTATGTCAATATATACAAATATAGTCAGGACCTGAATATTGTATTATCCTTGAAAAGTTCCTTTATTATATCACTGCCGATTATAAAACCTCAAGATTCCGAGAAAGTAAACTTAAATTTTGAAATTAAGCCATATGTGCGGTCAGTGATTTGACAAGTTTTGTGTCATCCGAAAAGCAAATCAATCAGTTAGAAATAATTCATGTCTTCCTTCATTTTCACGAGCAGTTTTACTGATTTGGAAAACTAAAATGTCCGTCAAGTTTTTAGTTTATTATATAATCATCAATATATTATAATATTCAGTTTTATCGTCTGTTAACTGCCTTCATATGTGACGAAAGTTGTCCACGTGAAACTGTAGATGCTGTAGTAGATGCTCTCTTAACCATAGCACTGCCGAATTTTTCGGCATTACACGTGTTGCAATTCTTAGTAGCAGCTGCTGAGACTCACTCATATCTCTATTCACGTCTTCGTGCTTGGTCAATATCGAAACTGAATGAAAATACAAATTTAACGAAATTGACCGTAAGTTGTAATTGCATTTTGACTCAGCAGTATTATTTTGAATCTGTTGAAGCTAATTATAATAATTCGGAAATTTTTCNGTTTTATAAACAAGCAG